GGGGCTGATAGGCTGGGGGGCAGGGCCAGGGCCCAGGGTGACCTGGGCAGATTAGGGGATTGGGCCACAAGAAATCTGAGGAGGTTCAACAAGGACAAGTGCAGAGTCCTGCCCTTGGGAGGGAAGAATCCCAAGCACTGGTACAGGCTGGGGACCGACTGGCTAAGTAGAAGCTCTGCAGAAAAGGACCTGGGGGTGACAGTGGATGGGAAGCTGGATAACTGTGTGACATTGTAGGCTGTAATCTAGACGACTAATAACATATGAAGGTGCATTAGGAGGAGCACTGCCAGCAGATCTAGAGAAGTGATTATTCTCCTTTATAATCACTGGGGAGGCCACGTCTGGAGTATTATGTCCAGTTCTGGGCCCTCCCTCCCCCCATTACAGAAAGGATGCAGATGCATTGGAGAAGGTCCAATGGAGGGCAATGAAAATGATTAGGGGGCTGGAGCACATGACCTGTGAAGAGCAGCTGAGGGATTTGGGTTTCTTTAGTCTGCAGAAGCGAAGAGTGAGGGGGGATTTGATAGCCGCCTTCAACTACCTGGAGGGAGGTTCCAAAGAGGATGGAGAGAGACCGTTCTCAGTAGTGTCAGATTGCAGACTTAGGGACAATCGTTTCAAGTTACAGTGGGGGAGGTCTAGGTTGGATATTAGGAAAAACTATTTCACTAGGAGGGTGGGGAAGCTGCAAATGAAGCCCGGAATTTAAATATCCCAGGCTTCATTTGCATCTTCCCGGGCGCCGCCATTTTTAAATGTCCCTTAGTCCAAACTCCGTGCCTGTGGCTACACGCGGCATGGAGTAGATAGTTCGAATTAGGATCTCTAATTCGAACTACCGGTACACCTCGTTCCACAGGCACAGAGTTCGGACTAAGGGACATTTAAAAATGGCGGCGCCCGGGAAGATGCAAATGAAGCCCGGGATATTTAAATCCCGGGCTTCATTTGCAACTCGAATGCCTACATTAGCCTCCCTAGTTCGAACTAGGGGGCTAGTGTAGACATACCCAAAGAGAGAGTGAGAGGCAGGAGGGGGAGAAGAGAAAGAGACAAGGAGAGAGAGGCAGGAGGTGGAGGAGAGCTGAGAGAGAGGGGAGGCAGGAGGAGAGAGAGAGAGAGACGGACATAGAGGAGAGACCTGAAAAATCCCATTCTATGACGGGCTCTTGGCTAGTCTTTTAAGAAATGTAATCTGAGATCCAGACAAAATGTAGGTGACGGTAAATTTCTCTTCATTATGTTCTCTGCCAATATGCCTTAAAACATAGGATTGAGAGCGCTTAAACCAGGGGTGAGCAACCTAAACCTGAGAAGGAGCCAGAATTTATCAATGCACGTGGCCAAAAAGCAACAGTTCTATGTCACCAGCCCTGCTCATCTCCCCACCACCACTCTCAGCAAATCCTGCCCCTGGGCAGCTCCACCGGTCAGTGCCTCCTTCTCCTTTGCCTCCTGCCCACTGGGATCAGCTGTCTCGGTGGGAGATGCTGGAGGAGGAAGCATGGTTGTGACAGGCTCAGTGGAAAGTGTAGGAAGTGGCAGGAGTCTAGAGGAAAAGGGTGGAGGGGGACAGAACCTAGGGCAGAGCTGGGGGTTGAACAGTGAGCACCCTATAGCCCAGTGGAAAGTTGGCACCTGTAGCTCTAGCCCTGGATTTGGTACCTATTCAAGGAGCCGCATATTAACTGCTGAAGAGCTGCAGGTTGGCCACTCCTGGGTTAAGCTGTTGGCATTGCTAATAGACTGCTATATGTTAATGGCATGCCCATATCCTGAATACTGTTTGCATTCAGAAAAGGTATATTGGAATTGGAAAAGAAAATGGCAACAGAGACTGGGATATGGAATTGGACAGATTAATAAAACAGGTCTTTTCCTCTTGGAAAAGAGAAAAGTGGGCTATGACAGAGGGCTATAAATTCATGACTGGCCTGGAGAAAGTAAATAACTTACTCAGAACACAAGAAACAGGTTTCACCAAATGAAATTAATAGTCAGTTGATTTACAACTATATTTTCAAATATAGTTAACCTGTGAAGCTCTTTGTTAGAGACACAGCCAGACTGACTTAATTAGTTTCATTAATACTGGTCCTGCAATTGACAGGTAACTTCTTTTGCTATTATATATACCCTGCATTCTGTAATTTCCACTTCAATTCATCTGATGACATTTATTAGGTGCCACATTTTTAATTGTACATTTTTAGCTGTTAATGATTATGTTTATATAGCATTTCATGCCAAATAATTCTAAACTATTTTATGCGTTTAAACTAACAAAAACATACCTAGTGGATAGCTGCTCTGATGTACATGAACTTGGATGTTAAATGCAGCAACTATAGTTAACTAGCCAATTAGCCCGTCATAAAACGGGATTTACAGATCTCTCCTCCACGTCCTATTCCCTTTCTATCTCAGTCTTCTCTGCTGAGCCTCCGGTCTCTCGCTCCATCTCTCTCTCTCTCCCCTCCTACTACTGCCTCTCCCCCCCCCAGCTCTCCTCCGTCTCCTGCCTCTCTCTCCCTCTCTCTTTCTCTTCTTCCCCTCC